GGGAGGGCTGAGGGCGGCGGCCGGGGAGGGCTGAGGGCGGCGGGCTGCGAGTGCGGCCTGGTGCTCGGTGAGTGCCGGGGTCCCGGCTGTCCCAGCGCAGCCACGGCACTGGGCTGGGGAGGGAGCTGGGGGGAGCGAGAATGACCAGGTCACAGAATCACAGAACGGGTCAGGCTGGAAGGGACCAGATTGGGTCATCTGGTCCAACGTCCTGCTCAAGCAGGGTTATCCCAGAGCACATGGCGCAGGATTGTGTCCAGACAGTTCTTGAATGTCCTTAGTAAAGGAAACTCCACACCTTCTCTGGGCAGTCTGTTCCAATGCTCGGTCACCTGCACAGTAAAGGTCTTCCTCATGTTCAGGTAGAATCTCCTGTGCATCATTTTCCGGCTATTGCTTCTCATCCTATTGCTTGGCACCTCCAAGAAGAGCCTCACTTTTCATCACACCTTCAGATACTGCAGGGGTTGTCCACAATATTTACAGGGCAACCAGAAGCCAGTGCACAGTGCATAAAATGGATGATTTTTCTTTCAAGACCCAGATGTGCAGTTCCTCTCTGCAGGATATTCTGGATGCTAGAAGCTTTTCTGAATTCACAAGGAGAGTTAACACAAATGCGCAGAGACTTGTGAAATATACCCTCTGTGGTGCTCATGAGGATACAGAAGCCAAATGTCGATAGCATAATTCATTAACAAGTTGGAAAGTGATCAAAGACTAGACAGGAGTCAGACGAAAGAATTTGCGGTAGCAGATTGTCTTCAGATCTGCATTTAAGCCATTCTTAAAGTCTACCAGACCTAAGCTATAATTCTTTTTCAAAAGCTATTGTCTGTGCTTAAGCTTACACCGTGGGACAATGTTCACTGCTAGCTGAAGTTTTTTATCCATAGTAGTATCCCTATGGGCAAATACGCTCTGTATTTCTCTTGTTCATGGATGTAATTTCTAAAAGGTACATTACATGCCTTTGTCTTCCATTCTGCCTTAAAAGAACTGTGTGGGTGTAGTAGGACAAGTAAAAAGTAAGAAACCATCACAAACATGTATACTGGTGGTGTTTAATGAGAGAAACAGACTCTAAAAGGAGCTCGATGTGATGTGTGTGTCAGCACCTTTAATGTACTGTCATGAAAAAAAAAAAAGGTGTTTTTTTTTTTTTTAAGCAATTTGAAATGGATTAAACTTTTTGCTGGATTAGACTGGTAATAATTTTTCACTAGGGTGAAATGTAATGCACAAAGTAAAAAGCATGTGGACTTTGTCCATAAAAATGTTCTGGAAATCAAAGTTGACAGCAGTTGACAAAACGCAAATGCGAACCCGTGCATTCTGGCACTGGTCAGAAGTATGGAAATGCATCTTGTGAGCCAACTGATATTACCAAACCCCCCCCAAAAAATGTGGAACCACTTGTCTCCATTTTGGCACTTGATTCTTGAAGGTTTGCAATGTGTCATTTTGCCACGGGGTGTCCCTAAAACCCTACTGTGAGCTGTTGCAGTCTGTTTCTGTAGTAAAAAAAAAAAAAAATCTGTTTGCATAGTTAGAACCATAATTTGCTAAAAAATGTAAAATGTGCAGAATACTAGGTGGACAGATAAAAATGGCATGGAACTCTTTCTGGTAAGCTGAAGGATGAAATACACATGCAACAATAAATTATAAGGAGAAAGTATGAATTTGTAAATGCACATCATGATTTATTAATCTCTTCTGGATTGGACATATGATTTTTTTTTATGTCCCAACTACTATTGTATTAATAACGTATCTGTAAAATACACCAATTATTGTTTTCACTTTTGAAAACAATCCTGCATATGAATTTAATTTCTTTTTTGATCAACAGAACATTGTTTGGTATACAAAAAGCAATGCAACTGCTCTGCACAACATTAACCAGTCTTAAGATATAAAAGATGTCACCATATGTCCCTTAGAGGATACCTTAGACATACCATAACAACAAAAAGCAATTAAAAATGTATAATTTGACTCATAAAATGAATTTTCATGAAGAATAGTTTTGTTAAAGTTGTGAAAACATGAAATACCCTTTTCACATCTCTTTTGGAGATAAACATGATAATGCAGAGTCTCATCTTCCACCATGCCAAAATCTGAAAGTAAGATTTACAAGAAATCCAGGATGGGGAAGGAAAAATACTTGTTTCTGTAGCTCTGTTTCTGGAAGTTAAAATCTTCCAGTTTCTTTTCTGGCTTTGGATGGGGATTGTATTTCAGAGGTGTTACTCACACTTTATGTCTGAAAAGGTGAGTTGTACCCATGTGTGCTTAATAGTGGCTGCTTGCCAAAAAACCTCATTATTCACCCTGCACTGTCTCCAGAATATAAAACCTAGGCTAGTTGCTAGCAGGGAAGAGAGAACACTTTGTTTTGTTTCTTAGCTTGACTTTGGGACTACCTAAAGCAGCCTCTTTCAAAGGCTGTTTATAACCTGGCTATGAGCAGGCAATAGGAGTCAGAGGGTTCACATGGCCTCCTTACCCTTTTTGCATCACTTTCTTCAGAGGCACCAGTTTGCGTGTCCCTGTCTGTGTTATTACAAGATATGTGCAGCCAGAGGTACTCTAAATAACTCCTATCTTGGAATATAAGAAAACATAAGAAATAATTTCTCTCAAATTATTTTGTTGGTGGAATAAAAAAAAGCTTAATTAGTCTCATAATACTCTGATGTTTTAACTTCACCATGTTTGTAAACCACTGCTGTAAGCCCCCTGTAGAAGGCCACCAAATTTGTCAGGCATGATTTGCCATGGTGAAATCATGTTGACTGCCACTAATTACCTCCTTATTTTCCATGTACCATGGGTTGTTTTCCAGGGGGATCTGCTCCATGATCTTGACAGGTACAGAGGCAAGAGTTACTGGCCTGTGTTTCTCTGGGTCTTCCATATTTCTTTTCAAATCAGTGGTGAAATATATCGCAGCA